TGCCTGGGTGGCTCAGTTGGTTAAGCAACTGATTAATTTCGGCTCAGGTCATTATCTCAGAGTTGTAAGATGGAGCCCTGTGTCAGGTTCCACACTGGGCATGGAGCTTACTTAAGATCCTCTCTCTCTCCCTCTCCCTCTGCCCCTCCCTTTGTGCTCATACACATGCAAGCTGTCTCTCTCTCTCTAAAAAAAAAAAATAGAAATCATATTCAAATCAATAGAAAAATGATTTATTTTTTTTTAAGATATTTATTTATTTGACAGAGAGAGACACAGCAAGAGAGGGAACACAAGCAAGGGGAGTGGGAGAGAGAGAAGCAGGCTTCCCACTGAGCAGGGAGCCCGACACGGGGCTCGATCCCAGGACCCTGGGATCATGACCTGAGCCGAAGGCAGATGCTTAACCACTGAGCCACCCAGGAGCCCCCAGAAATCATTTCTTTAAGTGAATTTAAACATTCACTTGATTATACAGTGGATAAATATATGTGGTTAGAGAAGTATTTATTGATTTAAATAAAATGATAGAATTTGTACATCCAAATTAATTTGTTTCCTTCAAAATAATCATCTAGAGAAATAACATACTTTTCTAAGAATGCTATTTTTTCAGAACCAGTTGAAACTTGTTTTTATTTTCTCAGAATTTATGGTACCTTTTTGAATATTCTGTAAGAAATAAGACCATCTTAAAGTTTCAAAATATTTCTTTGTAATCTTTCAAGGAGATAATACTCAGTTGTATTAGCTTTAGATTTTTTAAGTTATTTATAATAACATCTTAAATATCAGTATATTTTTTCAGTGGTGCTGAACTATGGATTAGAACAATGTTTCTGTCTTTTTTTTATATAAAGACTTAATTTTCTTTAGAGTAGTTTTGACTTCACAGCAAAATTGAGAGAGGAAGATACAGAGATTTCTTATACATCCCCTGCCCCCACACATATATAGCCTCTCCCATTAATCAGCATCCTTCACCAGAGAAGTACATTGTTAACAATTAATGAACCTATATTTACATGTCATCGCTCAAAGTCTATAATTTATATTATAGTTCAGTCTTGGTGCTGTACATTTTGTAGGTTTGGACAAATGTATAATGACATGTATCATCATTATAATATCATACAGAGTATTTTCACTGTCCTAAAAATTCTCTGTGCTCTGCCTATTCCATTCTTCCTACCACTCCTCTGACAACCTCTGGCAACCACTGATCTTTTTATTGTTCTTTTCTTTAAGATTTTATTTATTTGAAAGAGAGAGAAAGAGCGAGAATGCGTGTACAAGCAGGGGTAGGGGCAGAAGGAGAGGGAGAAACAGACTCCTCGCTGAGCGTGGAGCCTGACATGGGGGCTCGATCCCAGGACTCTGAGATCATGATCTAAGCTGAAGTTAGATGCTTATTAACCAACTGAGCTACCCAGCTGCCCCCACTGATCTTTTTATTGTCTCCATAGTTTTGCCTATTCCAGAATGTCATGTGGTTGAAATCATACAGTATGTAGCCTTTTCAGATTGACTTCTTTTGTTTAGTAATATGCATTTAAGATTCCTCTGTGACATTGCATGGCTTGATAGCTCATTTCTTTTTAGCATTGAACAATATTCCATATATGTACCAGTTTTTTTCTTCATCTATTTAGTTACTGAAGGACATCTTGGTTGCTTCCCAGTTTTGGTAATTATGAATAAAACTGCTATAAACATCTGTGTACAGGTTTTTATGTGAACATAAGTTTTCAACTCCTTTGGGTAAATACCAAGGAGTGTGATTGTTGGGTCACATGGTAAAAGTATGTTTAGTTTTGTAAGAAACTGTCAAATTGTCTTCCAAACCATTGTACCATTTGAATTACCATCAGAAATGAATGAGAATTCTTGTTGCTCCACATCCTCAGCAGCATTTGGTGCTTCAGTGGTTTGGATTTTAGTCATTGTAGTAGATATGTAGTAGTATCACATTATTTTAATTTGCAGTTCCCAAATGACATATGATGTGGAGCATCTTTTCATATGCCTATTTGCTGTTCATCTATGTCTTTGGTGAGGTGTCTGTTCAGATCTTTAGTACATTCTTTTAATTGGGTGGTTTGTTTTTTTATTGTTAAGTTTTAAGAGCTCTTTGTGAATTTTGGTTAACGGCACTTTAAATCTTTATGTCTTTTGCAAATATTTTCTCCAAGTCTGTGGCTTGTCTTACTCTCTTGATAGTGTCTTTCACAGAACAAAAGTTTTGAATTTTAGTTAATTCCAACTTATTAATTCTGTCTTTCATGATTGTACCTTTGGTGTTGTATCCAAAAAGTCTTGCTAAACCCAAAATCATTTGAGTTTTCTCCTATGTTACCTTCTGGGATTTTTATAGTTTTGCATTTTACATTTAGGTCTATAATGAATTTTGAGTTAATTTTTGTGAAGGGTATAAAGTCTCTGTTTAGATCCCCCCCTCCCCCATTTTTTGTTTTTTGTTTTTTTTGGCCTGGGATGTCCCGATGTTCCAGCACTATTTGTTGTAAAGACTATTCTTTCTCCATTGAGTTGCCTTTGCTCCTTTGATAAAGATCATTTGACTATATTTGTGTGGGTCTATTTCTGAGCTATATTCTGTTCCTTTGATCTATTTGTCTATTCTTTCACCAGTGCCACACTGTCTTGATTACTGTAGCTTTATAGTAAGACTTGAAGAAGTTGGATAGAATCATTTCTTGAACTTTGTTCTTCAGTTTTGTGTTCGTTACTGCCATCTTCTTTTGAACAACATGGATATTAAAATATCCATGAGAGGGGCGCCTGGGTGGCTCAGATGGTTAAGCGTCTGCCTTCGGCTCAGGTCATGATCCCAGGGTCCTGGGATCGAGTCCCACATCCGGCTCCCTGCTCAGCGGGGAGCCTGCTTCTCCCTCTGACCCTCTCCCCTCTCATGCTGTTTCTCTCTCGCTCGCTCTCTAAAAAATAAATAAAATCTTTAAAAAAAATAAAAAATAAAAAAATAAGTAAAATATCCATGAGAGACCCATGGAGAGAGTCCCAACTCTCTTCCATCAGAGTCCAGAAGACTAGGTATTAGATATTATAGTTGTATTGCTAACTTATATTTACAAGATGTTCAGTAAATGTTGTATTTGAAATACATACTCACCAGAAATTTTTGTTTACTGGTTTGAAGGAGAGAGAAAAGTAGTGAGCAGACTGCTGCCATGTTAATATGAGCATACCTGTAAATGCCATTTCCTTATATTTATTAGTGGTTTAGTATCTTATTTCATATTGTTTAGAGTCTAAATGTTAAGATAAAAATGAGCAAATATCAGGCAGCGTGATGCCTCCAGCTCTGTTTTTCTTTTTCAACATTTCCTTGGCGATTTGGGGTCTTTTCTGATTCCGTACAAATTTTAGGCTTGTTTATTCCAGCACTTTGAAAAATGTCATTGGAATTTTGATCAGGATTGCTCTGGGCAGCATAGACATTTTTACAATATTTATTCGTCCGATCCATGAGCAGGGAATGTTTTTCCATCTTTTTGTGTCTT